GCACGTTGCATGGTTAGAAACGGGAGAGAAACTGCTCACTAACTACACAAAAAGCAGATAGGTTATGATGGCAGAGTCTATACAGAGGCCTTGTCCTGGTTGGTCATAAGTCAATCTCGAAAGATGGAAGAGTTTGCTTTGGATGCTCAGCATAGGAATGTCCAAAACTGGGCTTTTCTGGCCAAATTTCTATTCTACTACTTCAAGGAGCCTCCAAGCAGGACAAGTGTAGCTCACAAGGTGGTGCAGACACCGACACAGCCTGTAAAGAAAAGGATATTGTGCTTCTCCATGGCCTGCTCCTACAGCCACCACCACGTCCCATGAACTGCCCATGGCCAACACTCCCTGTCCATCTCCCAAGAAATCCTTTGGTCCAAGTTTATCACTGAGATCTCACCAGTCCTGGGAACTCAGAATTGTGCAAAATCCCCTTTTCCTCCACTTAAAAACCAAAGAGAAATGCATTCTTGGTGAGATCTCCCAACTGTAAATTACTTGATTCAAACCAGAGGAGCATAAGGAAAACGCAAATACAACCCTGAAGTGCGCGGTGCCAAAGCAAATGAAGGGACCACAGAGGAGCTGCTCCAGTTCCTAGAAAAAAAAATCTTTTCTTGGAGGGCATGAAGTTAACATTTTGTTTATGTCAGATAAGAATCAACAGGCAGTTCACTTAAGTAAGGTTTTGTGGTTTTTTAGTATCTTAATTTCTGCCTGTAATATTTGTGAAGCATAATAACAACAAGTGTGCCATGAAATACGAGGCGGGTGACGAAAAGGCATAATTAAGATCTTTTAATTAGTATTGAATTTTCTCCGCAATCCAAGGGAGTAAGATGAGATAAGTAATTTCCTGTCTCTCTCGAATCCTGTCCTGAATTAATCAAACAACGGGGTGTGGCTTAAGAAGATGCTATGATGCTGCTCAAAAGCAAAGTCTTTTAAAAGCTGGCGCGCACGTGAGAAATGTTGTGATAAATCCGAGGACAGGTCAGAATACCAAAAAGGCAAAATATCTCCTTCAGCCTTAGGCACATCGTTTAATCTCAGGTGAAATACTTGTCTTCTCTAAAAGAGAATAATAATAATAATAATAATGCCCAGGTGATCGGCAGTGTTCACGCATGTGTGCAGAAGAGGGCAAGCAAAGGACGAACAACTATAGTGCCATCCCAATGGAAACCAAAGCAAACATAAAGGAAAATCCAAACACCGACCCAGAGGATGTCAAACGGATGATTAATCCCATTTTGTCTGTGT